GGAATACTAGGTGGAGTTAATGCTCTAAAACAAGATATTATAATAAAAGACATGTAAGATGTCCTTGTAATTAATAAGGACTAAAGAATAATATTCTTTCCATTCTAAATTATAAGACAATTTTAGAAAAACACTACTGCAAAATATATATTTTACGTCCTTCAATTTACATTTCCTTTTGTAAAAGTGAGATAACAAATAGAGGTGTTTCATAAATAAGTGTTGAATATTTATAGATATCAACATCACTTCTAATAAAAGCAACATAGACAAGCAAATCCATGTCGCACTTGTAAAGAACAACATGGTTTTTAGAAAATAATAGTATTTTAAATTATTTTATTTTGAAATGCTGAAACTAAAGATATATTTAACACGTAAATTAATGTTATTTTTGTAAATGTTAATTTTTAGATATTTAAATTTTTTTAATTTTTAATTTTTCTTTAAATTTTATAATATATCACTAAAGATATATCAAATAACCAGGGCCAACGCCGCCGACCAAAAAATCAAACAAAAAAATGGCCCACCAACTTAAATATTTTTAAAGGTGAGTAATTTTTATACAATATTTTTTATCCATAATTATTCCACATATATTTTTGTATGCTTATCATTTGATTTTGATTTATCCAATGCTATTAACAGATAAGGAGTACAGAGTGCGCATATTATATTATCCATTATATGTATTGTACAACATTTTTTGCTTTATAACAATAGTTCAACATTGTTATAAATATAAAAACTATTGCCTTTGGCTTTAAGTAACATTTTTCAAATGTTGCATATTCTAACGTTACTTGTTATCTAAGATAATAATTTTTTAAACTTTAGGCAACACTTAGCAAAATTTGTTGCTTTAGAATGACAATAGGCAACAACTTTCACGTCAATCTATTGCAATAATTTTAAACTATTATCTATCTATAAATTAAGAATTGTTGAGTAAAACTTAAAATAGACAAAATTTAATATTTCTTTTCTTACTTAGAATTTGAACCTTAAATCTCTTGGACATAAATCTAGCCTCTAACCCTCTTTCAACATTACTATTATGTCATCTATTACAAAATATTGATATATGTAAAGATATTTTTTAAGTAATTTTTGAGTTAATTCAATAAATAAAATATTAAATTAATTAAATAATAAAAAAGTAATAAAAATATATTAAAAATTGGATAAAAATAAAAGTAAATAGTTTTTTATATAAGTAAACAATAGGCAATATAATTTTTAACTATTCCAAAAAGAAACATTCAAAGGCAACATTTATTTTCTGTTGCCTATTGAAAAAGGCTCTTTGTTATCAAATATAAGGCACAATGCAAGATTTTCTGAACATTTCTTTTTTTTTTAAGATTTCCCTTAAATAGATACTCCCTTCAAATCTATTTATATTATTACAAGTCATATGTATGTTTACTTGAAGAATACTTGTCAAAACACTAATTAAACTTGTTGCCATTTTAGTAATGTTGACTTGTACATCAATTTACTAAGAGGAATTTCCTAACTGTAATGTCTGCATTAACATTACTAGAATAAAACATAACACTATCATAAGGACTAAGATTAAGCAAATCCCTAAATTAAATTACCATAATAGTCAAGTTTAAAATTAGAAGTTTAAAAGTTGGGATCTCGAGAAAAACCTTTTTATAAAAGCATTTGAGCTCAAATGATAATTGAAAACATAAAAGAAAAGGATATAGAAGCATGGCAAATGAAAACATCATACACATACATCAAAAGAGAACAAATTGGACAAGGTCTAATGTGTACCAGTTGCCATTGCGCATGTGTCATTCACCATGACAAATGGCACAAAGGGGAGAACCCCCTTGTTATGTAATGCACCATGGTGCACGTGACAACACTTTGGGTCCAACTTTTGAAGTGCATGTTTTGCCATCCGACATTCAATTCAAGTGATTTAAATGTCTACATGTAGCTATTTGAGTCATATATCTATTAGCATTGATTCGACAACAAATACTTTACTATTCAAAGGTCAAATACTTGAGTGTAAAAAAAACATTTTTTTTCCTTTCAAAATTTACCCAAAGGTGTCCAAAACCCCAAATCAAGTGCCAATAAACTAATGACCACCTGAACCAACTCAAACGAACTATAATACACCTAATTGAATCAACCCATACACGTACATATATCTCAAACACAACTTGGCCATTAAAATCCTATTTCCTCATTAATTAAAGGGCTTAGGCACAATTCAGCTAACAATTCTATAACCATCCATACACTTATAATTACCACATAAGGACATTTACAATAGTATTTCGGTCTCTTACAATAATTTCTATTACAATTATAATATCCTAAGCTGAAATACACTAAAACACCATAATCTCATGCAAGTAACCAAAAAACAATGCATGTCCTAAGTTGGTATAATATATAGATAATTTGTCACACAAAATACTAAAGGAAAGAGCTATACAATCACAAGCTCCTCAATTCCCAATAGCATCCTTTTTTTCTTTGCCCTTATCGGAACCTTCACTTATTAAATATAACCACAGGGGTAAGACAATATCTCAATAACTAAATAATCTAATATATCTACAAGTATGTAAGCATGTGAAGTGGTGAGTAAATAAGTTAATTGAACACATACCATACATATGTATAAATTTCTATCCATACTAATGCATGATCCACACTATCCCCCTTGTATTCTATATATTCCCTTTAACGAAATCTATGGGTTAACAACACAATAGAATCAAGTTCATGTGACTGGATTGGCCCAAGCTCACCAACTATGGGAAGCATATCAACTAAATACGTCTTTGCCTATTTTCAGACCATAGATTCTCCCTTCCTTGAATATTAGGAGTTTCGTATGTCCAATCTATCTATAGATGGTACTGGGACTTCCAAACAAGTAAGCTAAGCACTGAGGCCTCCAATGTGTCAGTGTATACATATGGATTTCTAAACAACACTATAGCCCTAGGATGAACTCCCAGCCTCTCACAATAATCATGCACATGCCATTTAATACATTAGCATGTTATTATATACACAGCTTCACAAGTATATTTTACACATATGAATTTGGTATAAAAAACACCTTTCAAACATATAAGCATGCATGCATGCATATATTCAAATTCCACTTCATAATTTTCCAAATCACCAAAAACATTCACATTACTAGGTTATTAATTAGAACAATAGCATATATACATTTATTTTTTGCAATCCCACAACCATCAAATAGACAAATAAAAGGATTAGATTATCTAATTACCTTAGCACTTTTATCATAAAAAAAAGGTTACTATGGAAAAAGCAACTCCTTAAAATTTCATTAGTTTTATAAGACTTGATCAATATTTAATCTATAAAATTAAACACTAATAATTAATTTACAACTCTAATTAACCCTATTTTAGACTGAATTTGGCTACCCACACTATCCAAATTTTCTCTTTGGCATAAACAACACTTCTTATATATTTCATTCATCATATATAACACTTCTTATACATTGTTCCCAATATTCAAATTTAAGTCTAGGGTTCATCTAAACCCTAACTCAAAATTCCAAATCATTATAAAATTGTAAAGCCAAGGTTTAGAAACCTAATTTGAGTCTTCAAGGCTCCATCTAATCAATGGGTTCGAAACTCAAGGGAGGATGAGAACAACAACAAACCTATCCAATAAACTCATAAATTCAAAAGTAAGGGAAGGAGAGTTGATAGGAAGCTTATTCAAGGATGTTTCTAGCTTAGAATTAAGCCTCCAAAGTGCCCAAAATGTAAAGCCCTAACAAACTGAAACTCATCCTTTGTTACCCTTCTTGTTTTCTCTATTTTCTCCTTCTATTTTCCACATGTAAGAGCATCTAATTTAATTAGATTTTCGCACATCCCTCACAATGGATGGCACAATGAGCCAAAAATAAATTTTGGGCCTCGCTTGATGCCCATTCTACTTGAACACCAATCTAGCCCACTTTTAAGGTTATCTAATGATCCAATAACCTCATTAGTATTCTAAAAATATCATTAATTCATTAATCACCTAATTTACTGATTTACCCTTTTTTAAACTTTAAATTCTAAATTTAAAAGTTTGAGGATGTTACACTAGCATTACGATGCTATTAGGATGCTATTTTGCTTTTCTATGCAGAATAAATCAACGTTATGTGCAGAGCAATTCAAATTTAATTAAATACCTATATCAACTAATTTAAAATAAAAAAAAATCATAACAAGCTTGTTTTTAAAGTGCAACCACTATAATCAAAATATACTAATATGCCTATCTTCAGTTTATAATACACTACAACAATTTTTACTTTAGACAACAGTTTTGATTACAACAATTCTAAAAATATTGCCTAATGTTGGTATAAGCAACAGCTTTTCTATATTGCTATTGATTCATATTTTAAGCAACAAATACTTTACAATGCTTTTAAACCGTTCCCTAAAGTAAAATAGCCAACAATTTTTTCAAGTATTGAAATAAAATTTTCAGATACCCATTATAAAAAACAGTTGCCCATAAAGGTACTTTTATTATAATATTTTAAAATTGTTTCTTATTTTAATAGACAACAAAAAAATTTCAGTTTTTAATTTCTCCCTTTTTGTCCTTCATTATTTTTTTATCATACATGAATATGATCAAACAAAAAACTACGAACATTAATAACAACGACAGCAAAAATTTTCTGGCCAAAGAAAAATATTAATAGCAATAATTTTATTAAAACGCATTGGCTTGAACGTTCCTTACATCGCCCATGGAAAATGATGAGTTTACTAATTATTATTATTTTTCTTTCTTTCTATCATCCATAACTCCACATGCATGCTCCTTGGACTTTGACTCCACAAGCATCACACTCTAAAAATACACCAAAGAAAAGTCAGTAATAATAATTAATAAGCTTGTAAATATACCAAAAGTATATCAACATTGACATGGAAATAGATCGATGGATTTACTTACGGGGTGTAGTCAATGTTGATTTCGCCTTGGACAGGGTCAGCAATGGCGGAGAAGGCTTGCTGAGAGAGATACAAGGTTGCGTGGCATGCCGTAGAAGGGCAGCGATCGACGATCTTGACAGTGATGCTTCCTCCTTTACACGGCTGAGCCGCCCCATTGTCGGTGGCGGTGCCACCAGTGCACGTGATTCTGAACATTCTTCCACAGACTGCTCCGTCGTTCCAGAGTGAGTCGCTTGCTGCTGCTATCATTGTTCCTTCATCTTCATATCCAAAGCACGCAGATGCTGCCAATCAACCAATTGTCTCTATGAATTGTTCATCTCTGAAGAAATGCCAACGATATGATGTATGGTGAGATTGTTCTTGTTTGTGTAAGTCTATGGGACAAACTAGTTTTCCTTCGGTCGTATATATACGTCATCCAGAAAGAATTTATAGTCCTTTTCACAAATCAATTTGCATAGAAGGTGAACCATTAGTTATTTTGTTTTAATTTTATCCTTTTAAAATTTTTTATGAGTAGAGTAAAAAATTACTGGAGAGAAAATATTTTAAAAAATGATGCATTTAGAGCGGGTAAAGTGATTTTTTTTTTCTTTTTAAACAACAACATAAATAATTTAACTACATCTCCTTAGTTTTAGTGAAGGTAGTTAGAAATAATTTATAAATAATATCTAAGGAAGTACATGTGTAAGGATGTTAAGTATAAGCATGAGCTTGATTAGATACAGAAAATCTCATATCTATAGAGTTAAGTTTAATAACTAATATATATATATATATATATAAGGACCAATAAAATCAAGCTTTAAAATTTTAAATTAAAATGTAGTGTCAATTTCACTACTTATAGTTGGTGTATGCTTTGTTAGCGGGAATGGCTCTATGAAGAATAGAAGTAGAGATGAAGAGGAAAGTTGTTCATGATGTCTTCAAAGCACAGGAAACACTTTTATTCAGGCTTAATTTGTCCCTACCTATTATAATCTCTAGGTACAAATTTAATTAATGGTAAATTTTCTTAAGGATATAATAAATACCCTTGACTATGTATTGTGCTTTTCAAGAATTAAGCTAAGACAATAATAGTTTTTACAAAGTAATAATTTCACTTTATCTTTGGTATAGTCAAAAAGAAAGGCAGTAAGTTTCAATAGTTGGATGCAAGAAACAAGTGATGATGAGGGATATTTATAAATAATGAAATAATGTCTTCAAGTAATACTTTTTTTTTTAAGTAATAAAACAATTTACCTAAAAGTCATAACCGTATGTTGGTTCATTATCCTATTTTGGTTCATGAACCAACATAATTTACCAATTTTGGCCATCTGATGTGGACAAAAAGGATTGGAAATGGCAATAATAGTGGCAAGAATCGAGCTTGATTTTTAACAGCAAAACAATGACAAAATGGGTAAGAATACCTTTGTTATTATTATGTGGGAGTCCCACAACTATTTCATGTCAGCAAATAACATAGAAATTGTTAGGTCTCTAATAGAAGGGTGATTTTCTTCTTAAAAAATTGTTTAAGGGCATATTGCTCTACCCTTTAATATAGAGTGCCAGTAAGAGTGAGAATAGATCGGGCCTCTATCAGGGGTCTATGTGCTGGCCTACCTCAGACTTAACTTAACCTATTTACTAAATAGATTCAGACTAAGTGCAAGCCTTTAATTAGGTATTTAACTAAATAAGTTGGGTCTAATTTTTCAAGACCTAGCATATGAGCCTAATAGGCTAACCAATTTACATCAATATATATATACTCCCTCCTTCTTTATATATAAGATATTTTTAACTGAATCATAAAAACTAATAAAAGTTGATTATCTAATTAAAATTACAGAAACATTCTAATTCTATCCCTAATTATTATAAATAAAAAATGAATCTCTTTTTTTAAAGTAAATTAATGAGATTACTTGTCTTTTACTCTTTTCAATTTAATAAGGTATAATGATTCATTCATTCAAAAAATATGCTAAAAACCTCTTATATTTAGGGATAAAAAAATTTCTAGAAGACCTCTTATATTATTTATATGAGGACGGAGGGAGTATATATTATAATATATCACACATAAATCAATTTCACCATTTGGTTTTTAATCAATCTATTTTTTTAATTTTAGCTGTTTTTAATTAGATTGGACTTATGTATTGATTTTAATGTTATTACTTTATTATTGTATTGTAGTTAGTAAGTCTTTTTAATTATTATATATTGTAATTGATAAATCATGTTTTTAATGAATATTTGAAAACATAACTAATAAGAAGGCTTACTTTTAAGTAGGTCTTTAGGTCAGGCCATGCTTTAGGTAGGCTCAAGCTTGAGCCATGAAAACAACCTTATACAAGCTTTAAGGCAAACTTAGACTTTAAACTTATCACACAAGCTTAGGCCTGTTTGGCCGAAGTCTAACTCGGCTTAGCCTATTTTCACCCCTAGTGCTAGGCAAATTTGGTGGGATGAGAACTTTTAAAAAAGCTAGATTTAACGTCTCAAAATATAAAATATTTTGAAAAAATTAAGATTTCATTAAATAGGCTCTTATTTCAATATTATCCTTTCTAACTCTTTCTTTGTTTAATTTTGATTCCTCTCTCTTTTCAATATATTAAATGAAGGGCATTTTGAAAGTTTATGTTTTTATTTTAAAAAAATAAAATTGTTAAGTATATTTAATAATGTTTATTAATATGTGAGATTTTGTCTAAAAATGTTATAATTTGGAAAGGAGGAAGAAACTCATTTGGTCAATGCAAAAAGATTTTGAAAAAAAGGAAATACAATCAAAATCATTAAATGCTATTTTTTTTATTAAATGCTATTTGATATTTAGAAGGGAGAAAATTTCACTATAGCCTTCTTGACCAAATTTATTGATAGTTAAACCCCTAACATTTTGAAATATTCAATTCAATCCTTATGGGTCCCACGGGTTAAATTGAAATCAAATTTTTGAAAGAAATAACACAAATAACTCCAATCCCCTAAAATAAATAATTAAGGTGTAGAAAATGAACAACTAACCTAGGAAAAATTTACAACTCTCATTCACAGCATAACACCAATATGAATATAAACAAGTAATATTAGGCACATGAACAACTGACATGTGGAAAATAGGCAACTGATATGCAGAAAATTTGCAACTCTAATTAATAGTATAATACCAATATGAATACAAACAAATGAATATGCATAGAAATAACCTGTGTAAGGAAAATAAACAAGTACTGTATAGAAAATAAACAATTGATGTAGCAAAAATTCACAACTTTCATTAACAGCATAACACCAATATAAATATACAAACAAGTGAAGCGAGATGCGTGGCCAACTCGTGTATAAAAAATGAACAATTGATATATGAAAAATAAACAGCTAATGTAGGAAAAATTTGCAGCTCTCATAAACAGCATAATATTACTATGCATATAAGTAAGTGAAGTTAAGTGCATGAATAATTCATTTTAAAAAATGAAAAAGTGTTGTATGGAAAATAAACAACTAACATAGAAAAAATTTGCAACTTTCATTAATATTTTTACACTAATATGAATATAAATAAGTGAAGTTACGTGCTTGAATAACTTGTCTAAGGAAAATGAATAAATGATATATGAAAAATAAACAACTAACATAAGAAAAATTTACAACTCTCATTAATAACAAAATACCAATATGAATATAAACAAGTAAAGTTAGACACATAAACAACTCGTGCATAAAAATGAACAATTAATGTATGAAAAATAAACAATTGATGTAGGAAAAATTTGTAACTTTCATTAATAACATAACACAACTATAAATATAAACAAATGAAGCTAGACGCATGAACAATTGTATAGGAAAAATGAACAAGTATTATACGAAAAATAAACAACTGACATAAAGGATTGGGGTTATTTGTGTCATTTTTTTCAAAAATTTAATTTTAATTTAGGCCAAGTGAAACCTACAGGAATTTAATTAATGTTTTAGAAATTTGGAGGTTTGACTGACTCTAAGTTTTGTCAAGGCGGCTGGAATAAACCTTTTCCCATTTGGAATCTCCATACTATTTCTCGGCACGTAACCCTTATTCTATGGAGAATGGGAATAAGAAGTCACAAAATTTGTCTTTTTTTATTTTTTAAAAAAATTAAAGGATAAAATTATAATTAATTTATATATTTACCTTGCCTTTGAATATTTTTTAATTTAAATGTTAGTTTTATGATTATTAATTAATTTACTTGTAATTTTTTATATATATATTATTTAAAATATATTAAATTGGCTATCAGTTTGACGACTGTTTGACAATTTACCTTTAAACCACTACCTTCATCCGATTCAATGTCCAATCTAGTTTTTTAAAACATTGAATATGATAACTATCAACTCATCTAATTGACATTATAATTTAACATGATAACTACCTAGTAAATGATTATAATTCAAAATTTATTATGCCACTAATGACTTTCTAACCATAATTAAATATTTATATTTCGACACGCTAAACATCCAAATAATTAAAAGCAATAAATAATTGCAACAAACCACATCATGTAATAGACCTCCTGAATCTATAAATCATAATAAATAAGGTAAACTCATGCTTATCTGTCTCATTGACAATTGACCAAGGAATTCAAGAAGCCTCTTTTACAAAGTGCTAGTTCAATCACCACGTCCTTCTAACGAGTAAACCAGTGCCATCTCAAAAATTTTCCCCCTCCCGATATTTTTAGGTTTATAAAGTTTATAGTCAATTCCTTCAAAGAAGTTATTTGTAGTCAACGGAATTAAGAATAAAAATTATTGGCGAGCATATGAATCCTTGAAGAATAGAAGAAGTAGAAATGAATGAGAAAGTCGTGCTCAATATCTTCTAGGTGTAGGCAGTGCTTACCTTTAGACTTAATTCATCCCAACCAATTTCAATTTTCGTGTATAAATTGGATCGATGGTGAATTTCCTTTAGGATTCAATAAAGATCTTGAGTATGCATTACATTGCTTCCAAACTCGAACCAAAACAACAATGATTTTTATCGAATGATAATTTGATTTTTATCAAGTGATAATTTGATTTTATTTTTTATATACTCAATGACAAAGACAACAAATTTCAATAATTGAACGTAAGAAATGAGTGATGGCAGTATTTATAGATAAAGAAGTATTTGAAGTGGACTTTTCAAATAATAAAACTCTACTTAAAAATCATAACCCTATTTTGGTTCATGAACCAATATAATTTAATAATTAATATTAACTAAGAATTATTTATATTAACATCCTTTTATTATATAAAGCTTTCTTAAAATAACATTTCCTTTCACTAATTGACTATTTTAATTTTATAACTCTCCAAAGATACCTTTAAAATTTAGAGAGATATGACTTTGATAATCATAACTGTCTATAAAACCCTTCATTGAAATTTCTTAATTATAAGGATATAACTTTAAAAAGACAAATCTTTATTTTGAAAATATTTCAACATATTTTTCCCGTGCTGGGTTTCGTCAATAACAGCACAAGTATCCATTTTAATGAAGCATATAGGTGATCCTGATATTAGTAGTTGATGATGTACACCAAAATGGAACCAATAGAATAAGCATGAGATAGCTAGGCATGTGAATGTGGAATAGGAAACTGGGATTAATTAATGAGGATACTCACGAACGTATTGAGTGTAAAAGGTGGCGGTTCCAGGAATGGCAGATGTAGACAGTGAGACAAAGCTCGAGAGGGCAAGCACCATTGCCAACACTGCTTTCATTTCGAGAGCCATTTCTTTGATCACTTGATTTTCTTTTCCAACTGCGACTCTATGCCATTTACTTCCTCCCGTTCATATATATAAAAAGTCTTTTAAATTTTTTTTTAAAGATAAAAGGTTGTTGGTATATTTTAATGAATAGATTATTATACTTTTATTAAATTAAAAAGAGAAAAAAAATAAGTACTTTCATTAATTTACTTTAAAAAAGAGATTTATTTTTTATTTTTAATAATTAAGGATAAAATTAAAATGTTACTTTATTTTTAATTAAATAATTAATTTTTATTAATTTGCATGATTCAATTAAAAGTATCTTATATATAAAAACAGAAGGAATAATTTATAGCTATTTATATTCGGTGCGTCTCCACAAGTTGCTGAAGGACATTAATTTACTGCATTAACTGACCTTAATTGCTACTGATGAGCAGGTCATTGAATGGACACATGAATGTGTCTCAGTCAAAGCAGCTAAAATATAAATAAAACATATTTTAAAAGTAATTTTTAATTTAAAATATAAAATATTTTGTAAAAATTAAATCATTTTTTTAATTTTATTTTTTTATTAGCATGTGTGAAGGTATTTAATATAATTATATTATTATTTAATTAATTTTTTACGTTCATGTACGTGACGAGTGATCCCTATTAACGCTTACTATTAGCCAAACTGTCGTATATACTTGGAAGTGTCCCATTAAAAACTTGTTTTGATTTGCATAATATCATAAAATAAATAAAGTATTTGAGTAAATATTAAACAAAAATAATATGCCAAAAAAAAATAAACTGAGTCAGAATCTTACCAAGTTCGCACATAGCAAAATCTACCTGATTATCTACATGAGAGATAAGACTATTAAAATTGTATCTAAGATGCAAAACAGACACACTAAAAAGAGGAAGAATGAACATGGAAAGAGATTTGTTCACTTTGAAATAAGTTCTTCCTTCAATCGCCCACCTTTATTTATATTGTAGGGAAATTGCCCTGAAAAAGGAAAACCCAATCATTATTAAGGGCGGATTGATAAATTCTAACAGTATTGATTAATTCAGTCCATGCCCAGCGGATATATAGTGTGTTTCTCAATTATAATTTGGTGCTTAATGCACTAGTTTCTTTTAGTTGAATGGTGATTATGAAATGGAAAATGAAAAGTCACCAAAAAAATCGAAAATGCACTCGACAGATGATGGGTGAAATTAATTATTAATTTTTTCTGTTAATTAATTAGGATAACAGGCGACACAATTGTTCTTTTTTTTTTATATAAATTTTTGTGGGCCATGGGTATCAGCTTATAATTTAGAATCTGAAGTACCAATCGCAGGCTCATATGGGCCTTGAATACCACTGAGACATTTCAAAGAATTAAGGCCCAATATTTTTTCAAATACCCATTTTGTTTCTCACGAAAGGGGAGAGAGAGAGATAGAGAGAGAGAGAGAGAGAGAGAGAGAGAGAGATAGACCATTTGATAGTGGATCTAAACAAGATTGACCCCCGAGTCCCAGACTAATTAAAGTCTACTTGGATACTTGAAAAGTTTAAATATTGTCAAAAATGAAGATAAAATATCATAAAAAATAAAAAATTATATAACATTTGTTTTTCGTTCTTTATATCACTTTTTTTATTTTAAAAACATTTTACAAGTTTTTAACATTTTCTAGACATATCAATTTGTTTCTAAGAAACACATCGAATACCAAGCAATCTAGATTGAGTTGGATGAAGCCTAAATCAATGGTTATTTGCACATATTTTTTTACTTTAAAAAACTAAATCCATGCACATTAAACCCTATTTTTCTTTCATATATCAACAAAATTTGAATTTAAAACTGTATTCAAGGGGTATTAAAATTTTATTAAAATGCTAGTGCATGTTAAATGTTCCCACATACATGGTTGGCTGAGACAATACATTATGTATGCTTATATTTTTCCGGCATTGAAGGCTAAGGAGATAGGACAACGTTGAATTGTCATAAACTAATTGGATACATTGAAGGTGGGTAGGGGCGTGTTCAACGCTAATTTGGTAAAATCCAATTGTAACATTAATTTGGTGGGGTAGGCATCCCCATAACTTCCTCCATCAATCCATCAATAATAGTATATATTATTATTTAATGGCTATTAACAAGAGTCAAGGGCAATTTTATGTTATGTTGGGCGATATTTGAAAAATTTTATTTTTACACATGACTAATTATATATTATTTTTTCTAGGATGAGAATTATTAATGGGCTGAAAATATTGTTGAATCATAATTTTGATCATCTCTCTATGACTATAAATGCTGTTTATCCAGGTACTTCAATTTTTGAAATCATGACTCATGTAGGTATGAAAATCTTTGCTTTTTAGTGATATCAAGATAAGTCTTTTTATTAGTAATATTTACCCGTCTTTGAATATGAATGTAAGTATAAGTGGCGTGTGATTACAGCTAATAGTTGCGCTTTGCTTGCAGGGGCGATATTCAGTTGATTTAATTTATGGCTGCAATGAAGTATTGACATTGTCAATCTTTTTCCATTAAAGTGATTTCTAATATGTATCTTTAAGGAATATATATAATCTATTATTTTCGATAGCAATTGCAATCTGATTTAGCAGTGGTTTTTTTTTTTTTTTTGGGGGGGGGGGGGGGCTCCCGTACATCGGCCGGAGTCCGTGCTAGTTTTAAATGAAAACCTAAAACCGGAAACGTATTTGGGGTCTTCTCCCCATGCGCCTACCATAATTTTCGCATTTATTCACGCAATAAAAATCCAAACCTTAGCAAAATATCCAAGGAAATTCATCGAGTGTATCGTTTCGTTGAAATTGGACAACTTATGATATTAAAATTAAAATTATAAAATATATTATGTCTGCCAGCCTCTATTGATTCATTGAGTCGCCATTAAAGGTATGGTGATTCGGGTCAAATAAATCCATGAAGAAATGAAGATATGCTTGTAATATTAGTGTAGACTGTAATTGGGTAGCAAAATGTAGTACCGGTGGGTTTGGATACACCATATATAAAAAAATTGACTTGAAATTTTCAAAGTTAAAATTCAGGAATTTTATGTAAAGTTTTTTTAATAATTTTTTATTATATTCTTTTTTATAAAGATCAAATTTTCTTTATTTTAAAAAGGCAAACTTCATGAAATTAATAAGGCTTGCGACGGCAACATATGATCGGAAACAACATACTTATTTTGTCCTTTTATAAGGACAACAAGATAATATTTATTTTGGTCCTATGGTATCTCTCATATTTTTATGTTCATGGTTATTGTTTTATTCTTATTAAATATTGATAAAGTTATGAAATGCTGATTGTTATATTTTCAAAGTATATTTAATAAGTATAAAGTTAAAAATTTTTCTTGAGAGATATTCTTCTGATCTTATTTATACGTCATATACATAATATGTCTTTATCACTTTGAAGTATACTACCAACAAAAATTGATTTTGTTAATAAGGACATGACCCATAATTTGTAAGATCATGGATTCAAATCTTATTGCAATGTTAGGAGCTTTTTGGGTGGCAATTTGTAAATATCTTTACAAATACTTTTTGAGATTAGAGGCAAGCCATGACCTTGGTGAGCCCCCTCACCAAAACTTTATTTGATTTAAAAAAAACTTGAAATATATTTCTCCGATCTTATTTATAAGTCATTTTTACTAACCTTATCAATACTAATACAACAAAAATATAAAGAATAAAATTTAGTAAAATTACAAACATAATTCTCAAAAAGTAAATAAAATATATAATATCATTTTTCTATTTCTCTCTCTCTCTTACTTTTTAAGGATAATTTAAATATTTCATTTAAAATAAAACATCATTTTAATCTAATGACTTATAAAGTGAATCACTTTACTCTTCTAAAAGGTAATTAATAAAGTGGACGGAGGGAGTATTTCTCAAGAACAGTAATTAAACTTTTTATTTTATTAATGTTTACATATCAATCTATTAAGGAAACTACACTAAAAAGGTTATGCAGGATGTGACTTTTACCAACCTATGAACTTGTCAATTTAGTAAAATGTGATTGTCAATTTCAAAAGAAAACTTGTTAGTTAACAATGTTTGATGTGTAAGTAAATAGTAGTAAAGTGAGAACAACAATAATTTTCTGGCCAAACAAAAATACTAATAACAATAATTTTATTAAAAAGCATCGGCTAGAACGTCCCTTACACATTGCCCATGGAAAATGATGAACTCTATTTCCATGAAGTGCTTGCACGCTACTAATGATTCTTATGTATTATTATTTAATTAATTTTTCTTTCTATCATCAATAACTCCACTAGCATGCTCCTGCTTGGCTTGGCTACTGGCCTACTGCTACTCCTGTCCACAAGCATCAAACCCTGAAAATACACCAAAGAGAAGTCAGTAGCAATAACAAGCTTGAAATTCTACCGAAACACTATATCAACAGTGTCATAAGAAGAGGATCAATTTACTTACTGGGTGTAATCAATGTTGATTTTGCCTTGGACAGGGTCAGCGATGTCGGAGAAGGCTTCCTGAGAGAGGTCCAAGGTGGCATGGCATGACGTAGATGGGCAGCGATCAACGATCTTGACGGTGACGCTTCCTCCCTTGCACGGCTGAGCCGCCCCGTAGTCGCCGGTGCCACGAGTGCACATGACTCTGTACATTCTTCCACATGCACCTCCGTTGTCCCACAAGGTGTCACTTGCTGCTGCTATCCTTGTTCCTTCATCTTCATTTCCATAGCATGCAGATGCTGCCAATCAATCAATTCACGTTGAATTTTTCATCTCTAAACAAATACCAACGATACAATAATGTAGGATGAGATTATATTGTTTGTTTTTATTTGTATATCCATGGGATAAAGTACATGTTAGGATGTCAAGTATAAACGCAAGCACGATTATTAAACAATGTAGAAAATCTCATGTTGTAAGAATTGAGCTTAATGTAAATATATATATATATATATATGAAAGCATTTATAAATTCAAGCATTAAAATTTGAAGCTAAGATATGACGTCAATTTCATTACTTACTGCTCGTGTGTACTTTTACTGTTTCAAGTTTGCTCCCTGTTCGATTTTCTTTGCCAACAGATCGACCAAGTATCCTTTTTAGTCAAGCTTACAGGTGGTCCTGATACTATTTAGTCTCATTAACCGATGAGACTAAAATGGAACAATAGAATATGCTTGAGATAAGATAATTTTTAAATTTTTAACTGTAAAGAAAGGCAAAATTGGAAAGTGAAATAATTTTGAACAATTTCAAAGATATACATACCATTTCTTAATAAGTGTGAAGTTGTTTAAGTTTGCCTTACATTAAAGATCGGAGAGTGTCTATATATATAATAGAAAAATGGGAATTTCACCCAAAAAAAAAAAGAATAGAAAGTTCGGAGTAAATGGACACTCACGAACGTATTGAGTATAAAAGGTGGCAGTTCCAGGAATAGCAGATGTCATTGAGACGAAACTCAAGAGGGCAAGGACCATTGCTAACGCTGATTTCATTTCGAGAGCCATTTCTTTGATCGCTTAATTTTTACCCTCCAACTGCGACTCTACAGTACCATTTCGTTTATAGCACTTTGTATTCGGTACGTCTCCACTCTCCACAAGTTGACGAAGGACGTTAATTGACTGCATTAACTGACCTTAATTGCTACTGAGCAGGTCATTGTATGTGTAACAATAATTTTGACTGAAGTGTCCGCGGCCTGGCGCAATATCAGGTTCAAATTAAGTTCAATGATCGTTTCTTTTAAAATTAGTTAGAATTTACTCCTCAAGTCATAATGCCTCATTTCTGTATATAAAAAAAATTATACTTTCTCTATTGTAAATTATAAAATATTTTTAGACAAAATCTTACATACCAATAAACATCATTAAATACACTTAATAATTTTATTTTCTCAATACAAAAAATATAAACTTTCAAATATATCCTTCATGTAGTAACCTTAAATTTATACTTAATTAGTATTAAATAAAGAGAAAAAGAATAATATTGGAATAAGTCTATTTAATAAAACTTTAATTTTCTCAAAGTGTCTTATATTTTAAGATGGCAAATCTCTCCCAAAAGTGTCTTATAATTTGGGATGGAGAGAGTATTACACAATTTAAAAAAGTTAATTAACTACAATAATTATATTTGAAAATAAAATAAGTAAACTAAAATGGTGTGTGTTAATTAATATAAGCATAAATTAATTATTTCTCGTTAATATAAATTATAAGGGGTGATTTGGAAAATCTATAATAAACACTTATTGGAATGATTGATTTTGCTTATAAAAAATACATGTCAAAAGTGGTATTTTATTTAACACTAAAAAACAAATGGAGTATATATAGAGCAAATTGAGAAAGAAAGTTTATTTTGATCTTATTTATAATACATAATAATAATTATTATATTCATCTTTATCCTTTTACCCTTCTTAAATGTTGAAAAAGTTATTAAATGCTTGAGTTTATTTTAAGTGAGTGTGTGTGTATTTAATAGGAATACAATTTAAAATTTTTTAAATTTTTAGATAAAGTTAATGAAATTTAATATTTTTTAATCCTAATAAATTATATTAAAAGTAAATTATAAATAAAATCAAATGATATGTTATATCTTTCAAGTTCCAAGCATGAATGTGACTCAGTCAAAGCGGCCAAAAATGTATATTCACTTGGCCCTTTTTTTTTGGGGGCAAACTTGTGTTTAGCTTTATATATTTAAACTGTTATTTTAAATTAAATAAATTTGTGTGTTTTTATATATATTTATTTTATAATAAATTATTGTTATTAATATTAACAATATTTTAAGATTTAATTATTTTAATTTAATTAAAAAAAGTATTTTTTTAGTAGATAACGTTAAGTGTGTAATGGCCAAAAACAAAAAATGGTTCTTAGCTTGGGCAACGGATGTTGAATTGCTATTTTATCTGGCTCGTGATGGCGAATTTTAAATGAAAAACTAAAATTGAAAATATATATTCACTGGTTTTATTTAGAATTCACCTTCATTATTTCCATCAAAATCAAAAAAAAACCTTAAACCTCATTAATTTTTTTAAAAATTTAACAAATGTTTAATTTTATTCCTATTAAATATACCTATTTTAAAATAAAGTACTCTAGCATTTAATAAATTTCTTTACATTCAATAAGGACAAAATAATAAAAATAAATATAATAATCATTGAGATCAATGACGGATCTAGAACAATAAATCAATGGGGGGCATAATTTATACATGATATAAATATTAATATTTTTATTAAGTGTTAATACAACTTGGACCCTGAACTAGGGCAATTTGAACTCTAAATTTTAAAAAAGTACATTCTAAATCTAAAGAATTAAAGTTAGAATAATTTCATTCCTGCCGTTAACTTTCAACAAACGTCCATCAAATTTATTTAAAAAAAATTACACTTTAGGTCACAATTTGACAAAAAATTGTTAAAAGTTAACAGTAGGAGCGAAATTGCTCTAACTTTAATTATTTAAGATAGAATGTACATTTTGAAAGTTTAGAGTTCAAATCATCCGTTGAACTTATAGTTCAGGATCCAAATTACATATTAACCTTTTTGTATTTTTAAAAAATGCACTCTAATCAAGAATAATTCAATAGTAACAGAAAAAAATGTATTTTGCACATTATATCAATTTTTAAAAAGATTTTGAAGGAGTGTGTAAGTTTTGTAGTTTGAATTGATCGATGAAGGTGAAAATTTATTAAAAAAAATCAAATAATTTTATGATAAATAAAAAGATAGAGAAAAAAGTGTATGAAGATGAATCTATTCTAAATTTTTTTCCCAACAAAAAATGATAATGTTTTTTTCTTTGATATTATTATGAGATTCTATTACGCTAAAGAACAAATAAGAAAAAAAAATATAAAAAGTGCGCCTATAACAAAAAATTATGTTACCTTCATATTGCTATCACTGATAACCTATCAAAACCCAACCCAACAAGAACAAAAATAGTCAACTCAACACCATCTCATTCATACCCACCATAATCTTCACTAAAAAAATTCTTTACTCATTATTACAGTTTATAGCCTTCTTTTATATAGCTTCATGATCATTATTTACCTTTTTTATGCCTTTTTCTCATGTCTTAAAAAATTTGTAATATTAACACAAGTTAATATGCAATTTAAACATCAAACTATACGCCTAGGGGCGATTTGAATCTAAACTTTTAAAAAGTGTGTTCCAAACTTTAAATAATTAAAATTGAAATAATTTCATCTCTACCATTAACTTTCAATAAACATCCGTCAAATTAGAGCTTGAAGTGTGATTTTTTTTTCAAATGAATTTAATAGACGTTTGTTGAAAGTTAACAATAGGGGTGAAAATGCCTCAATTTTAATTGTTTAGGATTCATAATATACTTTTTTAAAGTTTAAGGTTCAAATTGCCCTAAACCTATAGTTCAGAGTCTAAATTGCATATTAACCATTTTATTAAAAAATTAAAATTTCTATTAAATTATATTAAGGGTCTAAATTAATAAAATTAAATACAAAAAAAACTAATAAAACATGCCAAACAATTTTATAGGTATAATTCATTCCCACTTCACATAATTTTCTAAAACCATCAACATTCTTTTATAGGCATAATTGCATATCAAACAATTTTGTCACAACCATCCAAACAAGCAAGTAAAAATTAGATCATCCAATTACTACAATATTTTTGTCACAAAGAGTTACCCATGGGAATTACACTCTTCTCTAGCCTCCACTTGCTTAGAGGTATCTGAGTAACAATTAATCTACATGATTAAACATTAATTATTAATTTTCAACTCTAACATACACATCCTTAAGCTAAAGCTAAATACCCACGCCCTCTAACATCTATCATTAGCTTAAATAAAGCTCTAACAAACTTTTGTTAGCTCTATTTGTCTTTCACAAACTTAAACAACATAGAATTTTGGTCCACATTGCTCCCAAACTTCCATTTTAAACTTAGGGTTCATCCAAACCCTAGAGCCCAACACCAAATAATCACATAATTACTAAATCTAGATATAGAAACTTAAATTAAATCCCAATAATTCCAATAAACTTAATGGGTTTGGTCAAAACTCAAGAAGGGATGAAATCTTCCTTAACCATATCCAAACCCATTGCAAATTTAAGTAGAGAAGAGGGAAGATGGTTAAAAAACTTACCCAAGTGTTAATTTAGCTCAAATCACCTCCAAGCAACTCCCTAAGCAAGCCCTTTATTCAAAATTTGTCTTATTTGCCATGACAAACATGCATGACAAAATGCACAAGGAGCCTATATGAGATTTAGGTCCAATTCTTAGGCACAATTGTCCCAATACTCGTCCTAACTCAATCCTAAAGCTACCCCAGGTTCCAACAAATCTATTAGTGATCCAAAAATAATTTAATAAATGTACTAATTGACTAATTTACCCCATTAAATCCTTAAATTATAAATTTAAAAATATGGAGTGTTATACTCTTGTCACTTAATCAAGTAGTTAGGGATTCAAATTCTAACCCTTGTGTATAAAGCAACTTAGTTTAGAGAACAAAATGCAAATCTCAGTATTTCAATGGAGATATAGTCTCTATTGTCGCTAAAGCACACTCCTTATACCATAAAAACTTTGTTAAAATACCCACAATTCGGTCTAAATTATGTTAATTTCTGATCATTTTAGGCTCCTTCAACATACTTTTAAAACAGTTATCATCCTTGGATGGAAAGAATCCCCCCCCCCCCCCAAAAAAAAAAAATCATCCTTGGATGGTATTGCTCAATGCTCACCCTTTCAAGTATAGATGGATTGGCCCATCACGTGTACCCGGCCCAAAACATTGAGAATAACTGTGCGTATGCCCACATGTGATGTGATTCTGTGGTCATCATTTACATTTAAATAATAGCGTATGTACTCTTGGCCTAAAAAAAACTCATTGCATACTGCAAAAGACTTCTAAGTCGCACCCCAATCTGCACCACGAGCTTTTGTGAAGGAGTAATCATTTTCCTTCAAGACTTAATTCGCAGTTGTAAATTCATCATTTTGTGAGCGTTGAGTCGCACCCCAATTTGCAACCCCCAAACTTCGTGGAAACTTTGACAGACATCCCAGTTTTCCGTTGCTTTCACATGATTAGGTGGATTTCAGATACTACACAGAGCTTGAAATACAAACAATACTAGCATCTAAATTATAAATAGTGCTATTTACTACAAAATATTCTATACTGATTTTTCCGGCGTCAGGGTTAGCAATGACAGAGAGAGCTTCCTGAGAGAGATCATTGGTGGCCACGCGTCCCGGAGAAGGGCACTGATCGACGATCTTGACGGTGATGCTTCCCCCTTTGCACGGCCGACTCGTGCACGTGGTTCTGTACATTTGGCCGCATGCAGCTCCGTTGTTCCAGATTTCGTCGCTCGCTGCTGCTATCATAGTGCCTTGATCTTGATATCCAAAGCATGCCGATGCTGCCAATCAGCCATTAATCCGCACGAATTAATTGACTGATGAGACTAAAATGGAACCAATAGAATAAGTACGAATAAGCTAAGTGGTAAGAAATTGAGAGAAGAAGAATGTTAAACACAAAATGAGAAATCTTCATTAATCATTTACAAATGATGATGAAAAACAAACCCAACTAGGATGATTTACAGAACATGACCTTATCTTGGTGAACCAACCCCAATCTACGGGAACGAACCATGAGGGATTACAAGTGATGAACTTCCCTACCTAAATATCTAACATTTGACCTTTATATAGGTTTAAACCAACAACTAACTAACATGGTTAACTAATTAACACTAACATTAAGCATATAAATTAGAAGAGAAATGTGATTGATATATATAAACTCACGAACATATACAGTATAAAAGGTGGCGATTCCAGGAATAGCAGATACCACTGAGAAAAGGCTCAAGATGGCAAGTCCCATTACCGCTGCTTTCATTTTGAGAGCTTCTTCGACCACTTCAATTCCCACCAAACAAAGATCGTAGTGTTCTGTGCGAGTTGAAATTGAGGGGATAAATTCCTCCTTTTATAGCAAAATATTAGCCCATAAATTTTATATATATATATATATATATATATTTCCCCGAACGCGTGCTGGGCTTTACATGTTTATTTCATCATGTCAAACACTGAAGCTTTTACAAGGCCTGCTAACAAGCCGTGAATTTAAATCACCGGCGATTAAGATAATTGTAAGAATTTAGTTACCCAATGGGGTTTTTTAAAAATTTTCTATGGACCAGCCCATGTTCAATAAGCCCAAAAGACTGAAAACATTGGCCCAAATATTCCGCTCGGTAGTATGTGCATTCTCTCTTTCATTTTTGCCCCTTTTTTGTTTTTTTAAAAAAAAGTTAACTTTGTTTGCGTCCACCGCAAAAGACTTCTAAATCATACCCCTATCAACACGACCGACTTTTGTGAAGTATCATTTTCATTTAAGACTAATTCAAAGTTTAAAAGTCATGATTTTTTGAGCGTTGAGTCGTGCCCCAATTTACACGGCGAGCTTTGGCCATATTTTCGCAGAAATTCCAACTTTTTATTGCCTCACATTAATTAGGTAGTACTCCTATATTGCATGGAATTTAAAAAATAAATAGTATTATCGAACTTTATAAATTTTGTCATTATAGTGTTGTATATTTTATTTTTGATATACAATGATTAGTATTTTTCTCTCCACTTTTGGATGTCGATGTCCTTTGCGATCAATGTTATATCAATTAATATCACCAGAAAGGAATGACACTTAGATCTCATCAGGTTAATTTAATGACAGTTAAGTTTTGAAAAACCTTACTCAAAGATAAGTTGTAATTGAGTACTGATTCATAATTACAGATATCGTCGTGTTTCAATTACAAATTGAACATTAAGCGTGATAAGTCACCCCCAACAACTTGGAATTTTCGCATTTGCAAGTTTTTTAAGTGATATTTACAACTGAATCTTTGAGCAAAATTTTCTGACACCTAATTATTATTAAATTAATATTTTTGTAATAATAAAATATACAGTCCCTTTTTGGGATAATAATACTAGACTGATTCAAAAAGAAAAGCACTAACACCAATATAAATAAGGGACCATTGCTTGGGGTATTTCTTGCATCAGATCATAGCTAGAGTCCAATCTGAGTAAAATCAAGGGCTCTTTGATCGATCTTCAAGATGGATTCCAATATGTTTTCAAGTTTTGTGAGAATTCTGAGAGAATCCCATGTCATTCTTCTGAAAAACAGAAGCCTTATGGCCTCCATCGCCATACTTATGCTCGTCCTCCACTCTTTCCTCGTCTCATGCAAATTCTTCTTCCTTAGGCTTTTATTGAAAGATTTTGCCATGAAAGAAACTCGTCTGTTCTTCACAAGCCCAGACAGTTCTCAGTACACCAACCTTGTTACTGCTGTCACAGCAGATGTTCGCTTGCTTGCAGCACTTGGATGGTTCTTCGTTCTTGCCCTCTCCATGGCCTCCTTATTCCAAGCAGCCACTGCTGTCTTAGCCACAGCTATAGCTCATGGAAAAGGAAACTTGTCTTTCAGAGATTTGCTGTCAAGAGTATTCAAACCATGTAAAAGGCTAATCATCACTTGGTTCTACGTATCTGTCTTTGATCTTGGTTATCTAGTCCTTGTGTCCATGTCCATTTTCACGTTCACAGTGAATTTCGCTTCTCCATATCGCCCGACAACGTTTGTTTATGTCATTTTGATTCCGGTGTTAGCTTTTCTGATATTCCTCGCAGTTGTTTGGAGCATGTCTGTTGTGATTTCAGTTCTTGAAGAGAAAAGTGGACTTGAGTCAATTGGGAAGGCTTCACAGATTTTGAAGGGATTGAAGGGACAAGGGTTTCTGCTAAATCTTGTATATGGGGCAATTGCTTTGATGGTTCATATCTGGTGGTACCTGGTGACAAAAAAGAAAGGAACTTATGATTCACTGTTTCTGGCGTTAATTTTGGTGAATGTTACTTGTCTCATTAAGATGTCGCATATGATGGCGTTCACAGTGTTTTACCATATCTGCATGTTCAACCATGGTGAAGAGGTTGAATTGCAGGGAAGCTTGGAATATACTAAGTTGCCCAATGAACCGATGCTTATTGGAGCAGGAGCACCATAAGGAACAAAGTTATTTTAATTTCTCTAATTACGTATTTTATTTGGTCGTTGTTTCCTTCAGTGCAAGAACATTTTCTTTTGTTTCCAGACACGCTGTTTGATACTGGCTTTATCATCTCACAATAAGACTGTGTGTAGTAAATGATATATACTTATGTTCTGTCGTCTAAGCCTTTAAGGCGTGGGTCTAATTCTACAAGAAGAACGTTCATTTTATTTTATTTTTTGTTATAGAAAAAAAAAAAATCTCCACATCGAGGAACTCCAATGGCAATGGTAGAAGTCAAAACACAAAATTAGTTAAACAAGATTAATATTCAAGAACTTGAACCAAGTGAGTGGAAACTATATTGTTCCTTTTCAGGGTCATGTAAAATGATATTGATAGGGATGCGGAAGCAGAATCGTGCTAGTTTAGGGACAGAGCCCTGAAACAACAAAAACACAAGAACAAAAAAAAAAGGGACGAAATTTATGACGGAAATAAAGAAAGGTATGAAGTAAACAATAGGATAATGATCAAGGAGAAGATCCTCTAGAGCACCTGCCTCTAGGAACCTCAACCTTCGAAGACACCACAAGAGTTGATCACGCTCTTGATCACGTCGGTTTCTCACACGGGATACCACCACAAAGCACTAAGGCTCACAAGAGTTATAAACTCTAAAATGAATAATTTCATTCAACTTCTGTGTGTTTACAATAGGGAGCATGCCTAATTTATATAGGCTCATAGAAAAATATTTTCTAAAATTAAAACCCTAATTTCCTAATACTAAAAGGAGAAATAATGATAAAATATTCAGCCACATAATTTAGGAGATGTGATCCTAAAATTATGGGATTACAAAATTTAGAAATTAATATTATAATTAATTCTAACCTTTGACTAGACTCAAAATAGAAAATCAAATCAAAGGACCATTAAAATAGGAAATAATTTAGGAGACAATCAAGGGATGATAAAGGATTTGAAATCACGCCACCCTTGACTTCTTTACTAGGGTTTCATGCCTCCTTGCATGCAAGAGGCTCAACTTGTAGTCTTCCTTGCATTGGGCTAAGGTCTGCATCTCTTGGGCTTGACTCTTCATGAGTTTGGATCTTAAATACATTATACACGTATAGATGCTCTCCTTTGGACTTGAGGGGAGTGCCCCAATGCTCTCCAAGCTCTTGAACTTCTTGCATAAGACTGAACAAGGCTTGCTTCATGGCTTTGGTTTGGGCTCTTGTCATTGGACCTCCAATATGTTGCAATGGGTCTTTAGGTACGTTGGATTGGAAGTATTGGGCTCCTTCTATGTCACCATGCTCATGATTACCATCCTCAGGCTTCGTTGTCATTAATGCTATGTCACCCGTGTCATAGGGTCCATCAGATATATTTTTCCTTAAAGATGGATGCATGATTAAGAAAAAAGTTGCTTTTAAAAACTATCTAAAACATTATAAACACTAATTATAAGCACAACTATAAAGAGAGAGTCTATATCAAAAGACAAGCTTCTTAAATTTCACTTTTTTTGTATGGCTTCTTGGTATAAGACTCATAACATATATCTCTTGAATGTTAGTTTCTCCCCAGAAAAAGCAGGGCAACACGAGCTTCTTCTTTTATGTGTGATTGCATAAATTTAATTCGTTGCTGTTTTATAATTTCATTAACAAAACCTTGTTCTCTTCTATTTATAGAATTAATCTAAACAGATTTATTTTTGGCATTTTAAAGTATATAATTACACATGTTGCTAACGATGTGAGAATTGAAAAATTTTAAGACTAAGAAATTGCATATAAAAATTTTTACTTGTATTAAAACTAAATAATCAACATATGTAATTTCTAAGTTCTAAGGAAAACAAGTTATTTAGCCCAGCTAACTACGTCTCTTGGTCAAATGTTGACTAATGTTCAAAGTAGATAATTTTGTAATGGGTGCAAACTGTATATTGTAATTTCTTGGAAAATCATCAGACTTGGGGATGAATTGATGTATTACAAACACCTGAAGAATCAGTCACTTGACCACAGCATTCAAACAATTATTATCTAATTCCAAACCAATGCTGTTTCCTAGATACAACTGAATGATACTCCCTCCCATCCAAAATATAAGCATTTTTTTAATTAATTTTAGTTCAAAATATAAGCATTAGTACATGTAAATTTTTTTCCATTTTGCCTCTTTGTATTTATTAACATAGATATTTGTGCAAATATATCTTTCATTCATCATAAAGTGTATTAGTAATAATTGGAATTGGAGATAAAAATAATATATATTTTTATGAAAATGAAGATTTTATTGGCACAATTTTTTTCCAAAAATTATTTATATTTTGGAGTGGAGTTCATATCAATTATGTTCAGATGAAGTAGAAATAAACTTTATTAAAGCAAGAAAAACAATTACAACAAAAGCCCAAAGAAATTAAATTCCTTGGGCCTGGACACAAACAACATTATTTATATAAAATGGGGGCAGAACTAACAGATCGCACAAACAAAATCAGATCTAGGAATGTTGGCTCAAATGGCAAAAAGTCTTAGTTTCCTTGACCATCAGCTCTTGGGTTTAATTCCTGAAGTGATGAGAATGGAAAAAATATGCTTAGAACTTAGAAGAGCCACCCCTTTAAGATCACATAGTGTTCCTATTTAGATTAATCGAGGCTGTTAGCTTCAAATACCAGATAGTTACACCCAAAAAAAAAAAAAAAATTGGACCTAGGAATGAATCGATGGAAGTCTTGCGCATACAACCACAGCTAGAACTTGTTGAGTGAAGCAACAACTCCCATATCAGAAAATTGAGGAAGATCAATAAAATAGTGATATTTAAAGTATCTAGAATGTGAGATTTGCTCACGGAATCAGCGTGTGTGCATAGTTATCTATGAATGTCCAAATTTCAAACTTCTTGGGATAAAAAGATCAAATTAAAAAAAATAAGCTTTGTGCTTTATATAAATGAATCACATTGTTTATAAAATATTAAATATTTTTATAAATTTCAAACTCTCTTAAGATAATAAAAATAATCATTGTGCTTTATATAAATGAATCACATTGTTTATAAATTATAAATAATAAATATTTTATGAATTTTTATATTACAGATAGATTCTTTTGTAAATATGTGTATGCAAGATAAAATTTAAAAAATTCGTATTATATTGTTAATCCAAGGGAAAATATCATTGCTAAGACAATTTAATATCAAAATTCAAATAAAGACTAAAAAATTATGAAATATCACTGTAAAATTAAGAAACTGATTTAAAAATAATTTTAAATAAGAAAAGACTATAATGCCCCTACTTTTCTTTTTCTTTTTTAAAATTGTCAATTAGCGAATGATTTCTTTTTAAATATAAGTGAATACTTGTTAATTAACAAATGATTACTTATTGAAACATGATTTACACATTTATCCCTTCTCACAACTAAGCTCTTTTAGATTACGTGTTAAAAATAAATGGCTTCTTTTTAAATGCAAATGGTTACTTACTATTAACGAATGATTATGTGTTAGAAACATAATCTATAGTTATCTCTTTCCACGATCAAACTCTTTCATATTTTAAATTTATTAACTGACGAATGGCTACTCGCTAAATATGAATGGGTACTTGTTAATTAAAGAATGACTATTTGTTGAATCATGATCTAAGCTTGTCTCTTCTCACAACCAAGCTCTTTCAAAATTTTAAATTTGTTAATTATTAAATGGCTTCTTATTAAATGTGAATGGATACTTGTTAATTAACGAATGACTATATGTTAATTAAAAAAATATAAAATTATTTTCAAATCAATCCCCTTATATTATAGTGATATTTAAAAAAAAATTAGTCTTTATTTGATATTAAGTTGCCTCAGCATTTCTTGAAAGATATTTTCCCTTAAATCAAAGAATGACTTTAACATTTACCTAAAAAAAACAAAACCGTTCTAAATTTCATTGGCGATTCTTTTCTATGTTGTTGATTCCAAAGAATGCTTTTTTTTTTTTAATTACTTACAGATATCCTCTTACTAGAGATAGTCTTAAAGAATGCTTTTATTCATTACTTTATTTTGCAAAAACCTAATAATTAAAAAAATTTGATTTAATATATATATATATATTAGCCAAAAATATTTTTGATGTAATATTAATTCACCAAAATAAAAAATGAAATAAAATTGGGTATTTTTACTAATAGGGAAAATAAGTTTCAAAATGAGTAAATAAGCAAATTGGTTATAAACTATAGGGTCAAAAGTGCATGGGAGCCTAAATTCATCTTTATCCAATATTTTCTATTGTTAACAATATAAAAGAACCTCAAACAATTAATCAAAAACTATTATTTTTTAACTAATTAATAGTTAAAGTTAACTTTCATTAATAAAAAGATTAAATTGTACTGTTTTTAATAATTGAAAAGTAATATTGCACGGAAGATGAATTTAGAGTTTTAAATGTTTCTAAATCTATAATTTAGACGTCAATTTTAAGGAAAAACGGAGAACAAAACAGTTACACGTGTAATTAAGTATATGGAACAGATAGATAAATCGCACGAACGAGATTTCATGAACGCTTCTCCTGAAGTCATTTTCCTAAAGCACGATGATTCAGTCTCTTTAAATATGTCAACGGTAATAAAATATTTATTACTTTTGCATCAAGTTTTAGAAAACTCGAGCTCATACATAAATATTAGTACTTATATTAGTATTGACTATTGAGGTAAAAAATATTTAAAACTATTAGTACTTATTTCTTTTACGCATGTAAGAGGTTTGACTAGTATACAATAGTACTGTGAACAAGTAAAATCATCAATTTGCCTTCAGGACTAATTCAAACCATCATTTTTATTCATATCACGTATAAAAAAATAATAATCATTTTTATAAATGGGCTGCAATTTCCCCAATTTGTGCATCAAACTTTCAATCAATGCAAAACCCACACTATCTCTACATAATTCCAATTTCGCTGTTGCTTCCGGTGATGAAAGCAAACGTGTTGACCTATTTCTCGGGAAAATGACAAATAATGACTTTTGAAAAATATCAAAGGCCGTTTATGCTCAAATATCAAGAATTTACAACTGAATTTTTAAAATTTACACCTTAAAACTCTTTATTTTATATTAATTTTTTTTAAGATCTTCACTTTAATTGTCATTTTCCCAATTTTCTTTCGCATGTGTTTAGTTTTGTACAAACTAAATTAATTAGCATATCTCCCAGCAGTTCCCTTCCAAAATCAAGCATAGTTAATGTAAGACTGATTCAAAAGGCAAATCTCTAAGCCTAATATAAATAGAGGTAGCCATTGTTTACGCTATTTCCAGTACCAGAGAGTCGAATAATCCGAGATATCTGCACTCATCTATACAAGATGGAATCCAATTCGCTTTCAAGCTTTGTGAGAATTCTGAGAGAATCCCTTCATTTATTTCTGAAAAACAAAGGCCTTATGACCTCCATAGCCATGCTCATCCTTCTTCTCCACTCCTTCCTCTTTTCATGCAATTACTTCTCCATTGAGCCTTTCACGAAAGATTTTGTCAAGAAGCGAGTTCAGTTGTTCTTCGCCAGACCAGGTACCTCTAAGTACACCAACATCGTTACCTCTATGACATCAGATTTTCGCATGTTGGCAGGCCTGGAATGGTTCTTCATTCTTGCTCTCTCCATGGCTTCCTTATTCTCATCAGCCACAACTGTTTTGGCTTCGGCTGTGACTTATGCAGAAGGAAACTTGTCTTTCTTATATTTGCTGTCAAGAGTATTCAAATCATGTAAAAGGCTAATAATCACTTGGTTCTACGTATCTCTCTTCAATCTTGGTTACTTACTCCTTGCATTCTCTTTGATCTTTCCCTTCACTGTCAACTTTGCTTTTCCATTATTTCGCCCGACAACCTTTGTTTATGTCATGTTGATTCCGGTGTCAGCTTTCCATACGTACCTCGCTGTTGTTTGGAAAATGTCTGTTGTGATATCAGTTCTTGAAGAGAAACGTGGACTTGAGGCATTTGGGAAGGCTTGGCAGATTTTGAAGGGATTGAAGACGCAAGGGTTTCTGCTGAATCTTGTGTATGATGTACTTGCTTTGATTGGGTACATCTGGTGGTACATGGAGAGTCCAAAGAAAGGAACTTACTATTCGCTGGTTATGGGACTAATGTTGTTGAACGTTGGTTGTCTGATTAAGATGTTAGTGGACATGGCGTTCACAGTGTTATACCATATGTGCAAGCTGAGCCATGGAGAAGAGATTGAATTTGAAAGAATCTCGAAATACATTAAGGTGTCTAATGAACCAACGATTGGAGCAGATGTAGCATAAAGAAGAAAGGTATTACAATGTCTTCATCTTCTTGATCATTTATTTCTTTCAATTGACGCTTGTAGATACTGCCTTACATAGCTTCTGTTTTCAGATCACTTGAAGTCTGATGTATGTAAGTATGCATGCATGCTTAAATGCTTAATTTTGAGTTGTCATTTACAATAATAAGTGTTCTCACTGAGTGGTTTCTTTAGGAGCCTTAGTTGATGATCCTGATTGGTTTCCATCTTCAATATATCAATATATATATATATATATATATAAAGCTAACCACTATTGTCTTCCTGCTGGTTTGAGCTTTGTAGTAGATATAATCGTATGAGTTGTTATAATTTTTTATGTACATACATATATATTGATATGCATAAATTAATTCGACAAGTTAGCTTTGGAAATTACGCAAGGTTAATTTCGCTTTTAGCGATAAGAATATCATAAAATCTTAAAATTATATCATAATAAATTATTTTTATAATATAAAATTTAAGAAAGATATCATAAAATTTAAAAATAACTAACTAATAATAATTTTTTATTAATTGTAATTAAACATAAAATAATGTTTATTTTTTATAAAATATCTACAAAATAAATCTCTTTTTATAACATCTCTAAATTATTTAAAAATTATTTACTTTTTAATCTTAAATAAACAAGCTCAAAATTCTGCAAAAGTAATTCTAATTATAATAGATATATAGACTATCTCAAAAGGTGGGGGGAGAGAATAGTTATGTAGAAGGTTTTGGATTCATTTGCAATTAAAAAGCCAAAAAGCTTTTCTATTATATTCACCTTATTCAATCTTGAGAATTGAATGCAATTTAACACCCAAAATAAATATTAACTAAGAAATATTCGGACAAAACACTTGATAACAATCCGTCCAAATTAACCATAGTTTTAGAAAATTGATTTTTTGATTGAAAATATCAGAGATTTTAAATTAGGGGTATATTTGAAAGCATGCTTTTAATATAATGCATCTGAAAATGATGGTTTTTCTTATAAAAAAGAACAAAAGACCAAGCTCAAAATTTGCTTAAATTATAATTAAAGATAGAGGGATAGTATCAGACATCGAATATGAATTTGATAATTATACTTAATACAGGCATCTAAACCAATGAAATTCAAATCAACAGTTTTAAGTTCATATTCCACTTAAGATCAATAAGTGAGTGAATTTATCAGAACCATTGATATGAATTTCAACAACTCAAATGATACATGAACTCAATACCTATAGTCACCAAATCCACATCCTTGGATATCTATTGAGAGAGAATCCTGTGAGCCTGTGAGTAAAAGACAACACAATATTCCTTCACCACAAAATTTTTAAAAAAAGTCAAACTCCAAAACAAATTTTGACAAACAGTGCATATATATGTTACAAGGTTTTAAAAATTAGATTGGTCATTGAATATTGAACAGATTGAGGTAGTGGTTCATGGTTCACTGGTTGAACCGAGATCGAACTGTGGTCAAATTGTTTATTAATAAAATTATATATTTTTTATTTTATGTATGGAAATTATACAATAATAAATATAAAGATATTACATGGGATGATTATTTACAAATGTTTGAAAGGCAATTTTAATATAAACTTATACAATTTATCTGAAAAAATAGATAAATAATTTAAAGTATTTGTCCACATTTTAAAAAACAATATATGAAATCAAATAATCAATAAAGATCAATACAAAAAAATTGTATTTGGAGAGAGAAATTAGAATATTTTATGTTCTCTTAATATGCGATCATCAAGCATTATTTAAAGGCAAATTTAAATTGAAATTGATAACATTTTGATCAAGAAAAAATATAGATATAATATCATGAAGTATAAATGTGAAATATGCGTTTACATTATCAGTAAAAAATTCATGAAGACCGACAAAAGAATTCACCAAAAATGAGAGAAAAATAGAAAAAAAAAAAAAAAAAAAAAGGAAGCAACTGTGTGCAAGGAAGCATAGATGATGCATCATGCATGTACGCTAACAGAGTCCCACATCGTTTGCTTTGAAAATGAAAGAGGTGGGGTACTCTAAAAGGAAGCAACAAAGGCAAGGCGGAAATACTTGAGCCTGAGCTTCGTTGGCCAAGCGATTCTACACGTCGGGTCGTCGGCCAAGATTTTTTATTTTATTTTCTAGTTTTTTTATTTGTTGGTCTCGTTCGAGACCGAAACTGATTCGCTTTTTTTTATTTTATCGATTGTTGACCGATTCATTTGTTAGCTGGTTTTCAGGTTGATTCGAACCGGACTGAGTGTAGTTTTAGTTTAACTAGTTATACCAATTGGTCTGGTTTAGATTTTAAAACCACCATGACATATTATATAAGAACAAGAAGCTTTATTCTACTCGATAGACTATATAAATTACACAATGCCATGGTATTCTATCATTAATTAAATTCTTAAAAATATTATTAATTAAGAAATTTTGTTCAACAACTTACATAAGTATTCCCTTAATCTTTCTCTACTTCATTTTATAAGATTTAAAATTATTTATTTCACTCTCTTCATCAGTTTCTCCCGCATTAATACACACTACAAGCCAGCCATGTGAAGGAGGAATGTTTATACACTTCCCATCATCCTCTATAACATGCGTGACAACTTAAAATTTGTAGATACTTTCAATACAAATACAATCCACATTATTTTTACAGCAATCCCGGTTTCGCTAGCTGCTGCTTTTCATCTATAATTCGAATAAGGTTTTGCTGACTTCTCTTCTTTTTGCGTTGTTGGTTATATATGAACTGGCCTATCCCACTATACTATAATTCCACAGAAAGTCAAACATAATTGAATAAGACGGATTCACACAGAAAAGCCCTAAGCCCACCTAGTAAAAATGGATAGCCATTAATTGTAAACAATATAAAATTAATTAGGTGGATTTTACTGATAGAAAATTGTTATTTTTTAAATTATTTTTATCATTGATAAAACCAAACTTGTAAATACTTATACCAAACTTATGAATTATATAAAATTAGTCATCGAGAAGAGGTTGAATTGCAGAGAAGCTTGGAATACGCTTAGGTGTCCAATGAACCAGAGATGGCATAAGAAAATTGTGCGTCATTAATTTTTTTACGCGTATTTGACCCTTTTCTTTTCCCTCTCAATGCATGATGCTCGTTTTCTTCTGTTTCCACTTTCCGCACAGCTGTTTCATGTAAATGCATACTAATATTTTGTCATTAAGTGATGATCCCTATGTCCTGTTTAATAACATACAAGTCATTCATGATGAGCATGAATGGCCGGTTTCAGAAAGCTACTTTTTAACGGTGTTCATAGCTTCAATTTGATTCTTTTTTAGGAAAAAACCAAACTGGACAAAACCAATTGAATCACCGAAGCTTAGGACCTATTTAGTTTTTTTTTTTATAATCAGTTTGGTTTGTTTTTGAGTGATTTGATTTAAATTTGGTTTGATTTAAAAAAAAATATTTTGAGATATTTTTTCATGATCAATATATATACATTTACTAATAATTTTTTAACAATTAATTAGAACATTTAGCTATTAAAAACTAATAAATTATCTTTAAAATACTTGTTTATAAATTTTAAAAAATTATCTAAAATAATTATAGACAACATTTAGTTAATTGTAATAGAATTTTTAATAGTTTTCCAAATAACTAAATTTAGGGAAGAGAAAAAACTTAAAAAATTTATAAAAATGTATAAATTAAATATAATAAAATTTGGTTCGGTTTGATTTAATTTTTTAAAGAAAAGAACCTGAATCCAACCAAACTAATTGATTTTGTTAAAAAATCAAATCAACATTATTTATAATTAATTTTAATTGATTTATGTCAGTTTTGTTCAGTATAATCAATTTAAATCAATTTTAAATACTCTTACTTTTAAAAGTTTAATGTTGTTTTGACAGACATTTTCATTAAAAATAACTTTCTAAAAACATATTCAAATAAGTGAATTTGGAATACGGATAAATTTGGAACTTTTGAAACTGAAAGTAAGGATTGTGGCATTTAATAGGAGGAGCTGACTTTTGAATATATATATATATATATAAAAATTATGTTGACAAATTGACTTTTAATCAACAGAAAACCAAACTAGCAGTGTTTATCATGAATTCAAGTGATCCAATTTTTTTGATATTTTATATTTTTATTTTAATAAATGCATCGCATAATATAAAATAAAAAATAATATTCTAAGTTTTATCTTTTTTGGAAAAATAAATTTATTTTTAAAATTGTAAATTTAAAACTTCAAATTTGAATTCTCCTAACCATTGTTTTTAATCTCGTTGCAACGTAGAATAAGCATCACATGTGCCAAAGCAATGATCAAAACCAAACCTATGTTCAATTGGTTGTGGTTTAATTCTACAAGCTAGCTTTTGGAAATTAGGCCCGGTTTTTTTTAAAAAATTTTTAAACTTCACAATTTAAATATACACGCTCACACATAAGCACATGTTCAAACATTTGACCTCTCTCATGAAGAGGAAAGATTAGACTTAGACTCAAAAGGGCATTTAGCCGGCATGAGGATGTCTCCACTTTCCTTCCTTCATTTCCCTCTCATCACCCTCAAATTAAAAATTTTCAACAGTTTAGATTTAATTTTCAATAAAATTATTATTTTAATGTTATACAGAGATATATAAATTTATTTTCTTGCCATGCTGAGTGCTCTCTCCTTGCCCTTCATTTCAATCTAAAATATTCTCTGCCATTATATAATTTGACTATCCAAATTTTTAATAGTATATTTATTAAAATAAAAGTTATAAAAAATCTGTTGATTATTAACTTGGCCTATACAAATTTAATCTATACAGTTCAATTTAATATTAACAAATTTTATAATTTTATAATTTAACTATCCATATAGAGTCTAGACAATTCACATATAATCTGAATAACCTAATTTAATATTAAAAAATTTATAAATTGTACAAATTAACCATTTAAATGTTATCTACATAGTTCATGTTCCATATTAAAAATTTTATATTAATAAATATAATGTTTAAAAATATTCAAAAATTAATTTAAATAAATAGCAAATATCATTTTAGGCTAAAATGGAGGGTTAGACTTGGTCTAGCTTGATGAGCACTTGTGATAAGCATCGAATGCAAACGTCATTCTTGTATTATGTGCAATA